TGTTCATCGACCCCTACGTTTTCGTTGATGCCATCAATTTCAAACTCATGATCTGATTAATACTGATTATCCTTTTGATTGATTGTATAGCGGACACTGTATGGTCCCGACCAGTCACGTGGGGTGAACCATTCAGCAACGTTAGGATGGTTTTTTTTTTTTTTTTTTTTTTTTTTAATGATGTGCGCTTCGTTGTTCCACTTCTAGAAGACACGTCGATGTGTTTTTTTTTGTTTTCTGTTTTTTTTTGTAGACACCGATCGATGCGCTTCGTTCTCCCACGTCTGCAACATGTAGAGGTAGACTCAGCTCCACGTGTCATGTCCTGGATCCACGTGTCATCCCGTCCTTCTATCCACGTGTCATTGCATTCATCCATGGCCACGTGTCACCGGCATCCCGATGTCCATTTACACGTGTCAATATATAAATCCATTGACATTGACACGTGAACATGACAGCTTATGGATTGATCCGAACTCTTGATCTTGCTGTGTGGATGGATGCCATGACACGTGTCAACCACTGACACGTGTCATGGCAGCTTAAGCATTGACACGTGTCAACGTATTCATCAATGGACACGTGTCAACTTATTCATCAATGGACACGTGTCAACTTATTCATCAATGGACACGTGTCAAAGTGTGAAAGGGGAATTTTGTCCCCTCCCTCCCCTCCCCTCCCTCCCCCCCCGGGCCCGCCTCCCTCCCCCAGCCGGGGGGGCTCGTCCCACTAGCCTTCTTCCCCCGAACACAACGCAGCCTCATTTTGACTGCATCGGGCCGGAATCATACCTTGTATGCGTTCATTTTCAGGGTGCGTTATGTTCGGGGGAAGACGGGTAAAGCAGCGGTGAGTTTCCTGGACGCCCGAATCTGGACGTGTTTGTGGAGATGTGCGGTTGAGGACAGTCAACGCCATTTTCTGCACCTGTTCAAAGAAGGAAAGTCGTATATAGCACAAAAACTCAGTCCTTTATGACATCACACCGCCGTTGAAATTGCACAGATACCCTCGCACTGGGGAGCAATGAAGAGCGTGCTCCCCTCTGTGCCTTCTTCTTCAAGGATGCTCATCTGTGTATGCTGAAATCCACCCTTCCTTCACCCCCTTTCCTCCTACCCTCTACCCTCTACCCCCTACCCCCTAAACCCTAACCCCATCGTGAAATCCACCCTTCCTTTACTCCCCCCGAAAGATACCCTCCCACTTCATGGACTGACCCTTAATGTCAGGGTTGGGGTGGGCCCATTCACCCGCTCCTCCCCCCCTTCCGTGGGCCCATCTTTCCCCCGTCCTTGGGCCCATCTTTTCCCCCGCCTTGGGCTTATTTTCACCCCCTCCTTGGGCCTGTCTTTCCGCCCTCCTTGGGCCCATTTCCCTCCCCCCGGCCCTCTCCTTGGGCCCATTTCCCCACCCTACTTGGGCCCATCTTTCTGCCCCCCCCCCCCTCCTCGGGCCCATTTCCCCCACCTTCTTGGGCGCATCTTTGCGAGGGAGGTAGGTAGGATGATAGGGAGGGAGGGAGGGAGAGAGGAAGGTAGG